AGACTGAAAATGTTCCATTCTTAGCACACACACACACATTTTTTTTTAAGATTACCAGTAAATCCAAGTTAGTCTTTAAATTACAATATTAAGACAAAGGTAAACAAATAGAGAGTGCAACTTTCAATAGCTCACAATATCTGAGTAAATAAATTCTCATTTTAAGATATTTAAAGGGACAATTCAAAACTGAAAATTCCCTTATACAATGGTCCACATGTGGGAACAAACATTTATGCTTTATGATCTGGTTATTTTGGAATATATTGGTATGTATGGAATACATGCGTCAAAAAAATTGTGATTCATGTTTTTCAAAAAAATTGTTTCAAAATATTTGTCCTTTTCGTCAAATAGTGTTTTTATTTTGAAGTATCTGAGTATGTATGGAATATTGTGTAAATTATATAAAAAATATTTGTGAATTCATGTCTGTGAAAAAATCTGATAAATATTTAGCCTTATTTAGTTTTTTTTTTTTAATATAAAACAGTTTGGGACTAAAAATATTGCATTCTTAACACACACACGCACATTTCTTTTTAAAAAATGGTTCCCAGCAAACCGAAGCTAGTCTTTTATTTACAATGTTACCATTACACAATATTGAAACAAATTTCGAAAAACAGAAATTGCAACTTTTAACAGTCTCTGATTTAATAAATATCCATTTTAAGCTATTTTAAGGGTTAGTTAAACTAAAATCGAATCATTTACATATCCTCAATTGGGGCCAAACATTTATGAATTACTTTTTTTCTGCTGAACACAAAAAAACATTTTATGAATCTGAAAGTCATTAAAATGAATAAGAAATGTCATAGAAGTAAACTGTTATCGATTACTAAAAATGTAAGCATTCATAGCAGCACAGTAATGAACCAAGAACTTTATCGTGCATTCTTCATAATCTAAATTGACCACACAATTCTGATCACAACCAATGTCTCTTACCGTTCCAACTCTTGCCTCCAGTTCTCCAAAACAGCCAAGGGACAAAGCACAAGGAACGGCCCGTTCATCTTAAGGCTTCCTCGAGCATACGCCAGCAAAGAGATGGTCTACAGCAGAGCATGACATCTCACTTATCTCATATCTGACATCTCGGAATAAATCTTTCGGCTTAAAAGCAAGCAATATAAGCAAGATAAAGCCATCCCATTACTAACCTGACAGGTCTTGCCCAGACCCATCTCATCACCGAGGATGCAGCCCTGCTGGTTCTTCATACACAGTGACAGCCACTTCACTCCATCCAGCTGATAAGGCCTCAGATGAATAGCTATTAGGAAAGAGATAAAGGATAACAGCGTTGTTTGTAAGAAAAAAACTTTCAGATTTAGAGTATTTTAAATCATGTAACAGGTGTTCGAAGCCTTATTTCACTGCTCCAATTAATGTGACACGTGAAAAGTCAATCATGCCCGAAAATATATGCACAGCTAGTGTTTTTCAGCCAATAAGGAACTTCCGGTGAAAGCTTCATGCGACTATTTTCCCTTTCATAAAGTTCCTTTTACAGCTTTGATGGTGTTATGTAATAACACCATCAAATATAAACAGTTAAAAAGACTTAAGCATCTATTTGGTTATTAAAACATAAAAAGAGACTATTTAAACGCAAGTGCCGCCAATAGAAGCAGGTAAGCGCAAAAACTCCATTGAAAATACTGAGGTAAAATTAATTTCCATTTTTAATAGACATGGCATGGAATAATATAATTTAATGCAGTGCTTCTTGTTTGGTCTGATACCCAATTTATATCTTATCTCAGCCAGGCAGAGATTATCACTGTTATTTCAAGAAATCAGATCTTTTTTGCTGTGATTTTGTATGGGATGACAATTCACCAGAAGCCCTGGGGCTGACTGACTGAAGATAAAAGTCTGTGTGCATTACCCCATTGATGACATTGACCATTGTAATCACTTGTAAAAAATTCTAATAAAATATTTTATTTTTAATAAAAATCATCCTTTTTTGATATACAAATTTAATGCAAAGTGCATCTTTGTGTTTAAGTAAATTTGACATCAGGTTAAGATTGAGATATGCCTAGGCATGGGACGATAACCGTTTTCAAGGTATACCCCAGTTTGAAAAAGTCTAGGTTTTAAAACCGAAAAAGTTTTCTGTAATATCGTTCCTAAAATTTGTGTAAAATCTTTTATTTACATTTCTTTTTAGTTTTTTAGGACAACAGTATCTCCAGCAGAAAAAAAAATTATCCAAAAATGCCATTTTAAATGGTAAAGAAATTTGTTTTTGAAACAAATGAAGACAGCAGAAGTCATTGATTCATTTGAATTATTTAGCCTGACATGTTTACTGTAACAAGATATTATGAATCTTTGTTTTCAAAGGGGAAAAAAGTTTTTGTTTTTTTATGCAGACATTTAAAAAGAAAATATTTTAGCGCAGTAATCACAATATCGTGATACTGTGAAACCGTGATATTTTTATTAAAGGTTATCATACCATCAGAATCTCATACCGGCCCATGCCTAGATATGCCATATATTAATGAATCAATCCATGATTATTTATTTATATTACACTGAACTATCAGAATTTCAGAAAATCAGTCAGGCAATAAATCAACTCGGCTTTCCATCCAATTAAAGATGCAAGGTAACAATAAACTCCGGCCAAAAAACTGTTCAGGGTTCATACACATTCTTACTACTAAAATTCCATGACTATTCATGACGTAATGTTTCATGTAATGTCTACATATACATGGTAAATAACAAGAAAAAGAATGGTGTTTAAATTTATTACAGCATATCATATAACAGGCAACAATCTATTTTATTTAAATTACTTTTTATATCCATGTAAAATTTTGATGATGGTGAGAGCAAGTTTTTGGCCAAGAACAGAAAAGAAGACAACTAACCTGTATACAAGATAGGGCTGTATAATGTGGTTCAGAATCGATATTGTAATATGTGCATCTGCAATAGTCACATTGCAGGACATGCAATGTTGGGATTATAGTTTAATCATAATGGAACAAACATTTGTCATCTGCATGAATTTTTAAAGAGATAGTTCATCCAAAAATTACTTACCAATTTCGTTACACCCTTCACTTGTTTCAAACATTAATGATTTTCATTTTTTTTTTAAATGAACACAAAAAATATATAATTTAATAACTATAGTGAAGGGTCAGTAAATAGTGATTACATTTTCATCTTTGACAAAACTGTCCCTTTCAGGCCTTTGACTGTGAGAACATTTCAATATTTCAAATTTTAAAACAACCAGCCACAAGAAACTTTTTGTAACTTTAAGAAAGATTAAATAATATACAATGGAGACTATATCATTATTCACTTTTGTCTTTGCTATATTTAATTTATCTATGCTTGTAAGTTATTTGTTATATATTATTCAAGATTCACTCCTTTACAAAATCCCCCAATCAATCCAAATAAACCTGTTAAATCATCTGGTGAAATTGCATTCACATCGCAATATATAATCACAGAAATACAACACATTTCATCCCAATATCGTGCAGCCCTAATTTAGGTATAGAGATATTTGTTAAACTAATTTCCATGACTTTTCCAAAACTTTGTGTGTTTTTCTAATTTTTCCAAAATTTTTATTAAGGCCTGGAAAATGCCATGTCAAAATTACATGACTTTTCCAGGTTTTCCATGACCTTATGAACCCTGTGTGTTGCTCTGTCTGTCTCAAATTTTTTTTAATATAACTTAAAACAGTCCAATAAAGGTGGAGTAAACCATTACAAAACAAAGGAGTGGGGTGAAATCTAAAGATATCAACGTGTATAAACTGTACATGAATTTGAGCAACATTAATAAATTACATTAAATCAAGTTATGTCTTACCTATACATTTATGTATGTAAATAATATCATGGATAAAATCATACGCATATTCAGACAAAATCAGTTCTGTTATTGTAAAGTTACTTTGAAAAATTATTTGCATTTTCCCATAGATCACATAGGAGTTTTTCAGTGTACGAGCAAATCAAATTATAATGTTTAAAAACTTTATTAGAGTAACGTTAATATTTATTTTGCTTGTTAGAAATAAATATTAGTTTTATTGTATTAGTTTTTATCCACCTGGATTGTTCTTGAGCTAATCATGAGAAATAAATGTACGGTATTAATTTCTATTAAAAGGGTTGATCCAGGTAATTATCATATTAAATGTACTTATAAATGTAATTTATCAAAATAAAATGGCATAAGTTTTCTATATGAAGTTCACAAACGTAAATCTATGCATCTAAATCGCAAATGATTCTTCGTATTTTTATAAATACAAATGGGCAATGAGGTAAAACTTTGGGAATGTAAAACTTTTTTAAGCAAATTCATTAACGAGAAGTTATCGGTACGTTATTGATGTAACGTTATATCCAAAACTTTTTGTAAACTAATGATTTACCTGATCCAAAACGGGCTAAATACGATTAACGTAGGGTTAAGCGTTAAACATTAACTTAAACAAGTAAGTTAGCTCGCAATTGCTCCACACACCTCCAAGTCCCCATTTCTTCAGGTCATTCTCCGTTAGTTCAGATTTGTCCTTTTCTGGTATGTTGTTTCTGACTGCTCGAAGAAATGTGGACATCCTTGTTGTTTACGTTTATGTTAAATCATCTGAATTTCTTTTCTCTTTAATAGCTTGTGCGCGCCAGTTTGACGTGACTTGTTTTTCTACTTCCTGCAATAGTGAATGGGCGGGTAGCAAAACTGACGCTGTCCAATGACAAGTTGGCAACGCAAGCACGCGCTCTTTAAAGGCGCCATTCTTAAAAAAGTACATATATATTTAAAATATGTATATTTTATAAAGAATACGTGTGTAAAGATCTTAAATTCTCAAATCTCGGATTATCCTTTGAATTATATTCAACATTCTGACACAGAAAAAAAAATTGAGCTAGACTTCATTTACAAATAGTATCAGACAAAGATACAGAAAAAAATAGAAGGTCAGCTTTTTAGTATATAACTGCAATATCTACTTTAATAAATATCAATTTTAAGACATTTCATAACATTTACAAATCTGTTTTACAACACATTTAAAACACATTCAGTAAAATGTAATCTTTTGTACAGTCAGATTTAGCATGTCGTCCAGCTAACGTTAGCGATTACAACTAGCACCATCCCATAGTCTCAGTGATTATTTGTGGACCCCAGAATTGCAGAATACTTGAGCAGAGTGTTCCCAGTTCCCAGAGTGATGAAAGGATAAACATCAGCTCTTCATTTCATACACATGTTGCACAACATGGAGAAAAACTTCAGTACAGCATCCCTGGTTAAGACAAAGACAGCATAGAGAATTAAAAATACTGTACTTGGTTTCAATTGTGTCATATTTATTTTCTAGCATTCATTTACTTTCTTCAGTTTAGTCTCTATTTTAGGGGTCGCCACAGCAGAATGAACCACCTAACAAATATTCACACATCCATCAAATGCTTAATATGTTTTATCTAATTCAATATTTTAAGACAAAATAATATGTTAAAATCACAAATAATGACTAACCTTGCAAAAGGGATGTATGAGAGGCCATACCTATAAAGAAAAATTAATAAATTGATCAAATGTATTTCAGTACAGGAAAAAGCAGTGTTGGTGGTAACGCATTACAAGTAACAAGAGTTACGTAATAATTTTACTTTTCTAAGTAACAAGTAAAGTATTGCATTAAACAAATAAGTAATATTTGAGTAAGTTTTTCAAAAATGTCATGCGAGTTACTTTTTAGTTAATTAATAAGCTTTTAAAACAAATTGATGAATTTAAATTAAAGTAGTCATAATTATTCACACAGTCAATGAGAGAATGTGTTCATTATTTTGAACATATCAAAGAAAAGAAACAATGGACATTGATTTTACTTAAGACAAATAGTACAAACCCAGCAAACATATTGCTTTGAACTTTCAATAATCTGTATATGCAGCATGTATAGCACTGGGGTCAGGACATTATCCTAAAATTTTATCAGATAACATTCTATACTTTTTTTTTATTTGTTTTTTAAAGGTAAATGAAATTGTAAGTTATACAGTGTGGTGTCCATGCTTAAAATAATGTGTCATTGTAAACTTACCATGCAAATGCAAGGACTTGAAGAATGACAAACAGCAGAGTGAGAGCAAAGATCTTCCACTGTTGTACAGAGATTAGTGTTGAATTAGTATTAAAGAAAGCTAATTCTATTAGATTTATTATATACAGAGATAAAATCTAAAACTATACAGCAGGGAGAAATGCAGAAAGCTCACCCAAAATACTGCACAGAGTGTGAGAACCAGACATGTCTATGGACAGAGAAAAAATAGTGAAACTTTTAGTACTCATTAAACATCTGGTCAAATGTTTCCAAAGAGAGCACATGAATTCAAATAATAATTCTAACACTTTTTGGCGCATCCAACATGTTTTTGAAATATAATGCATTAATTCTTAGAGTTTTTTTTAAAGTTATTTAAAGGCAATATGTTTTTACTTTCAAAATTAGGATAATTTTATTAGATTCTTATTGAATAGTGAAAATCATAATAGGTGATTTCAGCCGAAAACTAAAGTTTGTTTTGTTCTTAAAACACCAGAAATGAAAAAAGTTTAAAAAGGCCTGTTTTTACTTTTTTGACTGGTAAACATTTCATGCAGTATTGCTTGGTTGTTAGAAATAGTAATCCATAATTTAAGTAATAAGTCAGCCTATATGGAATCTGTGTGCACAGAAATCTGCAGTCTATTTATTTAAACATGTATGTATGTTTAAAATAATATTTATTCTGTTTTTAAATTAATTTCAGTATTATTATTGGCTAATATGAAAATGTGCATATGATTTATTTACAATACAGTTTGTAAAGTAATATTTTCTATCTTTTATTAGATGTATTATATGAGAGACTTGCTTTGTTTGCCAAATAAGTGAATCTAATTGGATTTGCATTGTAAACATTAAATAAAGGTTAAAAACCTATTATATTTTATTTCATTTATTAAATTTGCAGTTATGATACTCCCAAACTGATTCCGCATAAAACTGCAATTTTTTTTACAAAATTCTCTGCAGAAATAGCAAAAATGTCCACAGATTCTGTCTGGCCCTAGTAATTAATAAACTTCTTTCAAGCGTCATTTGCTTTAAAACTTGAAAAGCCAGAAACTGCAAGACAACTAACATGTCTGCATTATTTTTACAACAAGTCACATCCTCATTGATGGCTTTACATGTAAAGTCAAGCAGAGTGTGGTGTGGAAAAGATTAACTCACTATCATCACAACAGTAGCAAAGGCTCTGGTCTTGTCACACATGCGTTTCAGCTGTTTCACTGGTCCCATTAAAAACATGGTGCTGTTGAGGAGTTCAAATGAAATTAATTAAAATACAATGCAAATAGTCACAGAATTTTAGTTGCTATAAACCAGATGACTCACCTTGCTAAGGAGCAAACGTTTCCCAATGTATAAAACACAACAAAAAGAAGTATCCCAATTTTGGGAATAAACAGGCAACCTACTCCCTGAGGTAGATAAAAAAATGTATATTATTAATATGACAGTTAAAAGGATATTTCTAGAAGAAGCATTTATTTTTTCATCAGAATATTTTGAAGTGAAACCACAGTCCTTGCAGATTCAACATTTTCTACTGGCACTATCACAGTCAAAATAATATGCAGAGTAAATAAAATTAATACCCGTAGCTTGTGATGATGCAGTGAGGTGTTATAAAGTGTTTTTTGCACATGCAAGAATCAAAACAGTGTTTCCAAGAAAGTTGCCCAAACTAGGGCCCGTGAGAAGAAATGGACCAAAAATGGGGAAGGTTGGGGTAAATCCCTCAAACCGAATTCATCCTTTTCAATTTTACATAACATTTTGTTTAATTGCTGAGCTACAAAAAAAAGGCAAAACTGAAAATAATGTTTAAATTAAATGTGAATTTGTATATATATATATATATATATATATATATATATATATATATATATATATATATATATATATATATATATATATATAGATTACTGATATGATTAAATAATTTTTCCGAAATATGTTTAAATATTATTAATTTAGGAAGTTATCATGGCTACTTTAATGTATTGCAGTTTAGTATATTTAGCTTCGGCCCACCACCCTCAATCAACTTTGGATGTCGGCCTTTCATAAGAAAAGGTTTGGGCACCTCTGGTGTGCAACATTAATACTAGTGCTTTTCCAGGAAGCTATACATACATGTAAACAAACAGCATCAGCTCACATGAGTTTGTGTCTACAATATGTTCCCAAAAGGGAGGCTGCAGATTAATAACATCATAAATAATGTTAAATTTCTTATTGATTGCTTCCCCTAATAAGACATCAATTTGTCTTCATGAGCAACAGGTAATAATTTTGTTTAGCCTATATATTGTTTTATGACTCTAAAAGTGCAGGTTGCCTTTCAATTGCGTTTTATGAATCACCAAGGACAATATTTTCAACAAGGATGGCTTTTGTGTGAGAAAATTAATAGGCAGTTTTAATTTTTGAGTGAACAGAAAGGTATACAGAAAGTTAAACAACATCTTAAAAGAGAAACAAGTTATTTTCCTATTCTCACTCAAGATACTTGAAATGCCATTCTATACAACAGGCCAAACCGGTGACACAGCTTCTAAACATTTTCCACCAACTCATCGCCTAGCCCTTCTCAATAGTCAGGAAGCTACAAAAAATAAAATGAAATAAAGTTTAAATGACTGACCAAGATAGAGAACACTACTCCAACGACCAAACAACCAACGAATCCTTTCACGCGCGTTCCCCATCCCAGTGTGGACGCTTCATTCGCCGCCTGCAGTGAACACAACACACAACTGTAATTTACATGCTTTCGCACCTCCAAGTAAAAATATTAAGAAAAATAAAACTGAAATTAAGTTGTAACGGCAGTGTAAGCCTGTGTCATTTTATTAATTTTACAATTACAATTTCACACGTTAGGAGTTCTAGAAAATTACTATTGGTAACTCACCTGCAGTATGTTCCTGTTATCATTGTTTCCATCCCGACCACCCAGAACCGCTCTGAGTTTGTCCATTATTGAACTCTTAATTCTTTATATCCACTAATTAATTCACTCCAAATCTCTGAGAATGTGTTGTATCATCGTTCAACAGGCACTCTCGCACGACATCACTGCTCACCTTTAACTTCATCTCCCTTCATTCAAGAATTTACCTGTTGCTCAAGCACGCCACCTATTGCTGCCTCTATAAAAGTATGTCAGTACTCTTGTACGAAGATGGGATTTTAGGGAATCAAAACAATCAATACACCACCATACTCTGCTAACAATCATTTACAAAATACAACTACAAAATGTAACAACAGCTAATATAATTAAATAAACTTGTCAGCATATTCGGAGCAATTATCATTTGATGACCGTGTAGCCTACAAATACTGATAAACTGTAATTGAATCTCACATTTTGTAGCTGTTCTTCAAACGACTAGGCGTAATCTTGCTATCAGCAAAAACATTTTATAGTATTAAAATTGATATGATCACTTATTTTTCTACTTTAATAGGTAACTTTGAATATTTTACATTAAAAAAAAATCATTATTAAATAGGCCTACAGTTGAAGTCAGAATTATTAGCCACCCTGTTTAATTGTTTCACCAATTTCTGTTTAACAGAGAGAATATTTTTCAACACATTTCTAATTAAAATTGTTTTAATAACTCATTTCTAATAACTGAATTATTTTATCTTTGCCCTTATGACAGTAAATAATATTTTACTAGATATTTTTCAAGATACTACTATACAGCTTAAATTGACATTTAAAGGCTTAACTAGGTTAATTAGGTTAACTAGGCAGATTAGGGTAATTAGGCAATTTATTGTATAAAGATGGTTTGTTCAGTAGACTATCGAAAAAAAAATAGCTTAAAGGGGCTAATAGTTTTGACCTTAAAATAGTTCATAACAAACTTAAAACTGCTTTCATTCTAGCCGAAATAAAGCAAATAAGACTTCCTCTAGAAGAAAAAAACATTATCAGACATACTGTGAAAATGTCCTTGCTCTGTTAAATATAATTTATAAAATATTTAAAAAAGACAAAAAATTTCAAAGTGGGGCTAATAATTCTGACTTCAACTGTCTTTTGAAATAATAATTTACTGTAGTATTATTACATAGGCTATATATATATATATATATATATATATATATATATATATATATATATATATATATATATATATATATTATTATTATTATTACATATTATATAAATTATAATGATATAACTGAGTATATGGTGAAGAAAGGTGATTTAAGAGACTTTGAACGTGGCATGGTTGCCAGACAGGCTGGTCTGAGTATTTCAGAAACTTCTGATCAACCATCTTTAGGGTTTACAGAGAATTGTCCAACAAAGAGAAAATATCCCGTAAGCGGCAGTTCTGTGAGCGCAATGCCCTGATGCCAGAGGTCAGAGGAGAATGGCCAGACTGGTTTGAGCTGATAGAAAGGCAACAGAAACTCAAATAACCACTTGTTAAAACCGAGGTATGCAGAAGAGCATCTCTGAACATACAACACGTTGAACCTTGAGGCAGATGGGCTACAGCAGCAGAACACACCGTGTGCTACTCCTGTCAGCTAAGAACAGGAAACTGAGGCTACAGTTCGCACAGGCGCACCAAAATTGGACAATAGAAGATTGGAAAAAAGCTGCCTGGTCTGATTAATCTCGTTTTCTGCTGCGACATTCGGATGATAATGTCAGAATTTGGCATCAACAACATGAAAGCTTGAATCCAACCTGCCTTGTATCAACGGTTCAGGCTGCTGGTGGTGTAATGGTCTGAGGAATATTTTCTTGGCACACTTTGGGCCCATTAGTACCAATTAAGCATTGTGTCAATATTACAGCCTGCCTGAGTATTGTTGCTGACCATGTCCATCCCTTTATGACTACAGTGTGCCCATCTTCTGATGGCTACTTCCAGCAGTATAATGCACCATGTCATGAAGCTTGAATCATCTCAGACTGGTTTCTTGAACATGACAATTAGTTCACTGTACTCAACTGGCATGCAGTCACCAGAACTCAAACCAATAGAGCACCTTTGGGATGTGGTGAAATGGGAGATTCGCATCATGGATGTGCAGCCAGAAAATTTGAAGCAACTGTATGATGCTATCTAATTATGATAGAGTGATGCTATCTGTACATAATAAGGTGGTGAGTGAGTGAGTGTACATAAGACACCTATGATAAATAGCAAATAAAAAAGTCACTGCGTATTGTTTTAATAAACATTTTATTAATAAAAATGACTTTAGAAGTCATTTAAAATTGTATTTAGCATCAAGGAAACTTAAATTAAGTAAATCAATAAATGCAAGTGATAATTAAGAAATTTAGATACAATGGCTGTCCTTTTTTCAGTCAAATATTTGATAAGCTTTCCAAAGAACAATTACGGCTGTCAAGAACAACAAGAATTAAAACATCATCATTCCTTTCATCAATAAAATTGTCTTGCAAACTTCAAAACCTTAGAATAGAGATCATGTGGTACCACTAAAAACAATGTCTTTAAGTGACAATATAAAATACTGACAAGGCACATTAAAGTTCTTTAATTTACACAGCATTGCATCAAAGTTAAAGGCCTAATAATAGTCAAAAACATATTATATAATTGACATAATTCATATAGTATGTATAAAAACTGAAGTTTTAATTTATTTCTCATCGGTTGGTCCTGAGCTGCATGAGAGGAACAGGAAGCAATATAATAAAGAAGAAATGACCATAAAAAATAGCAGACAGCATGGACAGAGAGCTGTAACTATCGCTAAAGTGATCGCACTGGGAACATGAGATGAAGATATTACACTATGGCTTTCATGATTTACTCCTGTGAGTCACTTGTCATGGTTTAATGAAACAGATCTTGGAAGGCAAGACTGTCACTGTTTATTATCTCCCATCTGCTCTTCAGGAAATGAAGACAGAGCTAATATTTAGTGACAATACCTTTCTGTTTCTATCTGCCTCTCGCTCTCTGTCAAAGTATTTTCTTTGGGTTGAAGGCTAAAAGCATATGGATGCAGGGATGATGAATATTCACAAAATCTCATCTTCAGACTCCACTTCTTTTTCCCTCGGTTTCAAAAGGCCCATTTCCATGGGTGGCACCCTCCTCAGTCTGGAACGTACAGCACTGGAAGAACAAAATGCTGGATTATTAAAAATTAACTATTAGAATTGTCTGTAAAAATAAAATTTTATATGATATTGGTGATGTTTATATGTTGCTTTAATTTGATTAGAAAACCATACCGCAGGAATTTGCCACTGCATCTGATGCCTCAAAAGCAGGGCTGTCCAAACTCGGTCCTGGAAGGCCGGTGTCCTGAATATTTTAGTTCCAACCCCATTTAAACACACCTGAACCAGCTAATCAAGCTCTTTCTATGTATACTAGAAACTTCCAAGGAGGAGTGTTGAAGGAAGTTGGAGCTAAATTATGTAGGACACCGGCCCTCCAGAACCGAGTTTGGACACCCCTGCTCTACCGTATTACACATAAAATACAATGTCTATCTATATAGGGTATATCTAACAAGCAATCTTTGCTATCATTAATGTATTACTTGTTCCAGGGCAAAGATTTTATATCGTTATTTATTTTTATTTTTTTTCTGGATCAAGATACAGTGCATCCGGAAATTATTCACACCGCTTCACTTTTTTATAAAAAAAATTATGTTACAGCCTTATTCCAAAATGGATTAAATTCATTTATTTCCTCGACATTCTACACACAGTTCCCCATAATGACAATCTGACTTTTTTGTTTGAAATGGTTGCAAATTTATTTAAAATAAATGTATATTAGTATTCACAGCCTTTGCTCAATACTTTGTTGATGAACCTTTGGCAGCAATTACAGCCTCAAGTCTTTTTTATTATGATGCTACAAGCTTGGCAAACCTGTCTTTGGGAATTTTTGCCCATTCCTCTTTGAAGTATCTATCAAGCTCTATCAGGTTGGATGGGAAGCGACAGTCTACAGCCATTTTCAGATCTCTCCAGAGATGTTCAATAGGATTTAGGTCTGGGCTCTTGCTCGGCCACTCAAGAACATTCACAGAGTTGTTGTAAAGCCACTTCATTGATATTTTGGCAGTGTGCTTTGGGTCATTGTCCTGCTAGAAGATGAACCGTCGCCCCAGTCTGAGGTCAAGAGCACTCTGAAGCAGGTTTTCATTTAGGATGTCTCTGTAAATTCCTGCATTCACCTTTCCCTCTGTCTTGACTAGTCTTCCAGTTCCTGCTGCTGAAAAACATCCCCACAGCATGATGCTGCTACCACCATGCTTCACTGTAGGAATGGTATTAGCCTGGTGAAGAGCGGTGCCTGATTTCCCCAAACGTAACGCCTGGCATTCATTCCAAAGAGTTCATTTTTAGAAGAAAGACTGAGAGTACTTAAGATGCCTTTTGACAAATCCCAGGCGAGGAGTGGCTTCAGTATGGCCACTCTACCATACAGGCCTGATTGGTGGATTGCTCCACAGATGGTTGTGCTTCTGTAAGGTTCTCCTCTCTCTACAGAAGAATGCTGGAGCTCAAACAGAATGACCATCGGGTTATTGATCGCCCTTCTCCTCCGATCATTCAGCTTAGATTGCCGGCTAGCTCTTGGAAGAGTCCTGGTGGTTCCAAACATCTTCCACTTATGGATGATGGAGGTCACTGTGCTCATTGGAGCTTTCAGAGCAACAGACATTTTTCCGTAACCTTCCCCAGCCTTGTGCCTCGAAACAATCCTGTCTCGGAGGTCTACAGAAAATTCCTTTGTGTTCATGCTTGGTTTGTGCTTTGACATGCACTGTCAACCCTGGAACCTTATATAGACAGGTGTATGCCTTTTCAAATCATGACCAATCAACTGAATTTACCACAGGTAAACTTCAATTAAGCTGATGAAACATCTCAGAAATGATCAGCAGAAACAGAATGTACCTATGCTCATTTTAGAGCTTCACGGCAAAGGCTGTGAATACGTGTGTACATGTGATTTTTCAGGTGTTTTATTTTTTTTATAAATTTGCAACAATTTAAAAAAATCTTTTTCACACTGTCATTGTAGGGTATTGTGTGTAGAATTTTAAAGGAAATAAATTGATTGAATAC